TCCCGCCACTTGTTGAAGTATCCTTGAGCAAGATACTGAACCCCGAATTACTCCTGATGCTGTGCATCGCTGTGTGAATGTGTATGAATGAGTTAGTTTCTGTTTGATGGACTTCATCACTGAGTGAATGTGTGTGAAAGGGTGAATGTGGCATGTAGCACTTTGAGTGGTCGAAAGACTAGAAAAGTGTTATACAAGTACAGGTCCATTTACCATTGTAGAGCTACTGGAAAAGATAGAAATGTGATAACACTGTGAAAAGGCTGGATATTTTATTCATAAAGTAAACAACATAAATACTGAAGCCTGAACTGCTGCACGTGCACAAAAAGATAGAGGTCACCTCTTGTACCAGTATTCACTATCAGATGAAAGGTTCAGTGTAGTTATATTACAGAATGTGCAATAGCTGATGCCTGCCTAATTATTTAATGTGAAATTTATGACTGATAGACATTAAAGAATGATAACAATCTATCATTATGTATTGTGGTTTTGAAAGTAGTCAGGATCTCAGGTCCCCCGGCAAAGCTCTGACAAGGGTAGCTCAGACTAAATCTATGGTCCTTGCTTTGGCATCAGATACTAGAAGCCAAATTGGGACTTCACAGACCTGTAGATGCTATCCCAAAATATTACCAGACAGTAAGATGGATGTCAGAGTCTATGGCATTGCTAGGAAACAAAACACACATAGATTTGACAAGCCTTCCCCAGCACCTACTAAAACTTGTTATGACAACTTGGGTCTTTTTTCAAAGTTCTGGCTGTCATCTCTGTCAGTAAAAACTGCTGAGATCACATCTCTTAATAAGGCCGGGGAAGCAAGGGTGGAACAGGCTATGTTCATTTAGGTCAGGGTCTGGAGGCTGTTCATGATGGGACATGGGGTGTGGTTTTCAGTCTCTGGGATTTGAATGCTCATTGTGAAGAAGAGCAAACTGTTAAAAAAAGAGGTCCGAACTTTGCTTTTGTTCTGTAGCAGTTGTGGTGAAGTAAATGTAGTAATTGGCCAGAGTGTGCTGTCAGAATATTTACTGTACTAAACATTACTGTGCAATTTAAACATCATCAGTGTTTGCCTTAGTGTTTACCACAATCTAATTTTAGACTGTTAAGAGTGTTTACAGTAACATTTGCTCATTACCACAAAGCATAAAGTACAGCTTAGGCTGATGGGATTGTTGGACGAAATGAAAATGTGACCTAATGATGATGCTAGATGAAAAATCAGAGAATGACCAAAGTTCCCAAAGACCATGAATGTCTGTACCAAACTGCATGGTAATCTATCAATCTGCTATCAAGACAGGGTCACAGATGTCTATAGTCACTGTATATAGTAGGCTGCCTAAAGTCATTACAACACTTTCAGAAGTCTGAACCCTACTGGCGGCCCCTAGAGGACACAGTGCAACTCACAACGTACAATGGGACAATCAAAATACTGATGCCTTTGCCATCTGTAGAGCCTGACCAGTAGTAGAGTTATAAATGTAAGGTTTTACACCATTAAGGTGGTGCTACAGGAGAAGTCAGGGATCAACAAAATAATTAGGATTCATCCTCTGGGGACCAGAGGTCTGTACTACATTGTGTGCTCTAAGTGAAACATCAGGGGATTACCAAAGTCATAAAGATTCTCTGAGTATCATACTAGCATATACCAGTACAAGTTTTTTATTGATTTTGACCCTAGTGTACAAGGTATGATATTCAATTCAATTCAATTCAATTTTATTTGTATAGCGCCAATTCATAACAGAAGTTATCTCAGGACACTTTTCAAATAGAGCAGGTCTAGACCGAACTCCTTATAACATTATTTACAGAGACCCAACAGTTCCACCATGAGCAAGCACTTGGCAACAAGGGCAAGGAAAAACTGCCTAGTAGTCCACCAGCAGCTCTTTGGTCTTGCTGATATTGAGCTTCCGGTGATTGTTGTTGCAGCATGTGATGATGTTCTCCATCAGTCCTCTGTACTTCTCCTTGTTGTTGCCACTACAGCTCCTTGAGGCATGCAAGTTTTGCTTATCATAATCGTAGAGGCACAGCCATCCACTCTGACATACAGTGACCAGCCAGTGACATAGTCCATAATCCAAGATGCAGTGTCAGCTTTTTCATCTAGAAGGCAGGGATGGATAGTGTTGAAAGCACTGGAGTAGTCAAAGAACATGACTTTTACAGTTCTTCCCTGCTTCTACAGGGTCTTGTGTGTCAGGAAAATGATCCAGCATCCTCCACTCTGTTGTTTGGCTGGTATGCAGGAGGTCCAGGAAAGAAGTTAGAAGGGACCTCAGGTGTTGCAGATCCAGCCTCTCAAAGGTCTTTATGAGATGTGATCTAAGTGCCACAGGTCTGTAGTCATTGAGAGTGCTGGGACGTCTTTTCTTTGGCAATGAAACAATGCAGGGCTTCCATAGTTTAGACACCTTCCTCAACCTCAAGGAAAAATCCAGCACACCGCTCCATATTTCCTCTGGTCTATGCAGATGTATGCTGATGGAACTCCAGCTGCACACTGGTAGCTCATTGCCGGTGTAAGAAACCATGGTCTCCAGGTAATATTCCATAAATAAAAAGTTGCAGTAGTGCAAACATGCTTACAGAGTGATACATGAAGTGCTCATGATTCACAGTGTGTAAGACAGAAGTCCAAGAACAAGGAAAGTAAAGTAGGAACTGCTGCAACAAGCTCCTTCCCGCTCGGCGACTGTAAGTTAATTAGTTGTGTGGGTCTCCATCATGCTAACTATGTCAAATGACTCATTTTGTTATGTTCTGTCTTGTTTTACCCATGTTTTGTAAAAAACTGTATATATGAAAGTTAGACCAGGATGTCCCACTGCAAGCACTCCCTTTAAATTCATCCAGGAAATGCAGTCATACTTTCCTTCAATTTGGAAGACACAACCAACATATCCTTTACAGCACTCATTGTCCCGCAGCCTATTGCATGCTCACTTGTCATTGTGTCCAGTTGTAATTCCCTCTACCCACTCAAGACCTCAGTCAGTTAGTGGGCCAAGACTGGTGCTGAGACAACAACAGGGAAAAAAAGGGGAAATAAAGTGGACTACACGTCTAATAATGGCTGTGGGCAAAGACGGTTCCCTAGAGACGGATACATTGCACTCTCAAGTATTTCCTGGGAGAATGCCTTTATGTGATTTAGCTCTCTATGTTTTTTAGTGTTGGCGGCTGTGTGTTTTGTAGTAACACTGCACAGTGCTGCTCAGATTGGTCATATAAAAAAAATGTACAACTTTTTTAACATTATCCACATTATGCATATCAAAATTATTGAATTATTACATATTTGATTGTCCTGGATGTCTCCACTCCACAGCCAGGTGCCTCTTTCCCTTTCCTTTAGTGGCTAACGTTGCATCAGGTGCAAACTCTCCACTGTGAATAACAACCACAGCCTCTGTGGGCTGAGGAGCAGGACCTGGCAATGACATCTCATTTAGGGAAGACGTGCAGGTTCAGCCCATTAGCTTTCAGCCTTCTAAAGGCTACACCATCATAGGCTGTGTCTTCCAAAGGAGACAGCCCCTGAAATGGGACACAGCTTAGAACTCAGCTTGGGTAACACAAAGTCACCCTGATTAGCTCTGCCTGACTTACACCAGCAAGCACACACTATCAAATACAAATCCCATTTTAGGAGGTCTTGTCTGGAGGAAAAGCACTGCTGCACTGACTTCTTACAAATTGAAGGGTTGAATATACACAGGTGTGGTGTGGCTGGTTGTTTTTGTACTGTTCTTGTACTTTTAAATATTTTTGGATATAATGTTAAAACTTCACTTATTTATATTTTCCTATCAATAATTGATTAAATGAGTATGTGTAATGTGAAAAGTGTGCATGTTGTGACAAACCCACAGAGAATAATTACCAACTCCAGCATCTTTCAGCTTTTTTATAGTTTTGCAGCTTTACTATATTTATTAACGTCCAGTATGCAACTTATACAGTGTGATGTAGAAACTTGAAGCCACCAGTGCACATCCACTGAGAATGGACATTACAGTGAAGTAGGAGACATCTTGGGTCCAGCAGGAAACCTTTAGAAATGAACAACCTTTGCATATTCAGATATTCTGGAGGTTTTAATGAGGTAGAAGGAGGAGATTACTTTTTAAGGATTTTGTTGTGGAAATTCTACTTTTTTATGCAAAAAACATATCAGACACACATTGTTCCAAGCAGACTTTTTGAATATGTTTTAATACTGGAGGGGATCTTTAAGTTGTGGCAACCAGAAAATCACTTTATATTATATAGTAGCAATGTCAGTTAATATTCGCTGTGTTATCAGGTGGCTGGAAACATGACTCCAAATTGAGGCTCCAGGCCTGCTAGATCTGGAATAAGAATTTTAACTCTAAACACATTCACCACAACAACTATTCACAACAACAACTTTACTAGATGATAATATATCAGTCTTGAGTTTACAGGTAGTTCTGCCTACAAATGTCCAAATTACTGCTGCTCTCATGTGTCCAGTTGAGATCCAGTGTCCAGTTTGGAACTGGCTCCCCAATACACTAGGTTTAACTAGGTTAAACAATTGTGGAGATTGGCTAGGTGTTCATGTTGATTCTGTAAGCCTGCAAACTACAGGTACATGTATTTTTGTGTAGATATAAGATAAGATTTTGACCATACCCAACATCACAGCTGATGTAGAATTGAGCACTGTTTTTTTTTTTTTATCTCCTCTGCACTTAAGTCACCTTAGTTACACCTAAATTAATGATTATAGCTGATCTCAATATGTTTTTTTAAGTAGTTGAATCAGATGGCAGATGTCATTCACAAGTGGAAGTGAAAGCAGAAGTAAAAACCATTCCTGACGACCACAAAGTACTGTGAACCATAATCTTCAGTTGCGCTTTCCTTCCTGTCACAATGCAAGCACAGTGCCACAGCTGAAAACAACATACTCACCATGATGAGAGTCATCATGTTGAACATTTACATGTTCAACTTGTTGAATGTGTTTGATACCTGCTACTGTGCAGCTGTCAGCATACATGGTTCTTTCGAGCTGAGGCTTAACTTGGCTAAATTTAAACCAATCTTTCTGCAGACCCCAGCTGTGCAGAAACTACAGCACTTCCTCTTTCATCGCAAATTGAGAGTGAAAATAGCTTTACCTCTGGTCAAAATAACAAGTGTGTTGCTTTCATCCTACACACACAAGACAGAGAGAAGTCAACCACAGGGCCCAGGAAGTGCTTTCATCTGCAGCATAGACTTAAGCTGTAGTTTCAGGCACATTTGGAGACGGCTGTCACAGACAGATTTGCTTCTGTTATTACCGGCTGTGAGGTAAGTTGTTGAAGGATACAGCTGTTATGTACTTACACTCATGTAAAGTGGCATGTTTTCATCAAGATACTGCAATGGATCTTTTTTTATAGATAACCTCGACGTGGCAGAGAGATGAAGTTCATGTTTCATTTCACTCTGGTGCTGTCAGTCCTCCTGACCTCAGCCCTGAAAACCCTCGATTCAGATCAGGAGCTGCAAGACAGTGGGTTCGGTCAACCACCGCCTCGCCACGGCCTCAAGTTGCTGGAGTGGTACGTTAACAACTGCCTGGACAACAACATGGTGGCTCTGTGTGATCCCACGCAAGGTGTTTATGGATTTCATGAGTTTAAGAACCGGGGGCCCAGGCATCTGCTTCCTGTCATAGAGGATAAAAGGCAATACAAGTACTACACCATCGGAAACCTCAACGCTCCCCATTCCGAGGACCTGCCATATGAAGTCAGGAAGTACTACAACCACAAAGACCCTGAAAGTAACAAGGACAGAGTTTTGGTGCGATACAACAACAACAACAGGCGCGTGGACGAGATCTACGCATCTGCACACTATAAAGCAAAAGAGACGTACGTAATTGGGCCCAATCTTTTTGCTTCTCTTCGGCGGCGAACTGCCCTCGTTAGCAGAGAAATGTGATGCAAAAATCTTTATGTGACATCTTTAATAGCCCTGACTCTTCAAAACAAATCCCGACGGAAAGATTTTTTAAACAGTCTTGATTGACATGGCTGCTGCTGTTCTTTGTTGTCAGAATGAAGTGCCAGGCTGCTTTGATTAGCTTATTTTAAGGAGTATGAGTCAGGATCTTTGTTTATATGACCTGGCATGGCCTGCCTGCTTGTAGAATACAAGGCTTTGGAGAATATTTCTTTGACCAATAAAATAAGTGTTAAAATGTACTGCCTAAGAATAGTTTTTATGCAATAAATGAGACATTTGTGTGTGTGTGTGTGTGTGTGTGTGTGTGTGTGTGTGTGTGTGTGTGTGTGTGTGTGTGTGTGTGTGTGTGTGTGTGTGTGTGTTTGTGTGTGTATTTGAATGAGGGGAATTTCATGACAGTTGCCTCTGTTTCATGTTTATTACTTCGGTCTTATTTTTCTAGTTTTGGCCATGTTTAAGTCAAGATAATATTGCATTCACTGAGGCTAATCTCATCCACTTGCTCAGGTCTGTTATGAACACACAACTACGGCAAGTAAAGTGGGTCAAAGTAAAGTGGTTCCCAAACACTGTGCTGTAAGCACACCCCGTCCAGCAAAGGATAAACGCCCTGTGTTATACATAGAGTCATAAGACTACTATTATATATTAGCTCACCCAAAAATTAGTCAGTAAATTTGCACATTGTCACTTAACTGAAATTAGCAGTAGATTCCGGTAGATTCTTGCAAATATCATTAGGATAACTATGAGGAGCCAGAGGAACCAGATGTTTTTCATAGATTAGCCCGTTTCAGTGAATGGCAATAAGTTATTTTTATAAAAGTTACCTGCTGCAGATTTAAAGGTAATAAAATCCACCAGAAATATATATATAAAAAAAGAATATGCAGCCTCCAGCCAATCAGAATTGAATAACTGCTATATAATGGCCACTGAAAAATACTTGTTTTGATTGGTCAGCAGATGTGTGCTAAGATTTTGTAAGCCTATTAGAATCACAGAGCTTAGAAAATAGTTTGTAGTGGTTTAATTATAATTGTAAATCAGTGCTCATTGCAGCCTATTTCTTTCCCCTATATCCGGACAACTCATGACAGCTATTACTTGCTTATTACATCCCTTCTGGCTACTCAGAAGCAAGTGTAACAATAACATAAATATCTTAATATCCACCTACAGTAAAGTAAATCACTGAGAGATTAAAATTAAGTAGAAATACCAAAACGTTAGGCAGAGGATGACAAATCACAGAGGGAGAAAACAGCATGAAGCTTAATTGAAATAAATGAGAAAGGTACAGGAAATAAACACAATTAATGAGGTTATGAAAGAGAAATAGCAGCTTCAGTTCAGTTCTGTCTCCTAAGGATTTTAGGTATTATTCTCCTACTGTCAAGGTCAAAAAGTACCACCAAAAATATAAAAACTCTCAATATGAAAGTTCCACAGAGCTTTTAGAAATTTGTATGAACTCCAATATCAGCTGAACAGCAGGCAGTCAATCAAAATGTTGACTCTAATGAGTTGTGAAACAAGGCAGCACACACCTTCATGGCCAAAAGGCACAAACTCTTGCAAAACTCACTTTCAATATTATGATGACAAAGCACCCTCATGCCTGCAGTCCTCAAAACCCACAGAAAGGCCTCATTCATCTTCTGCTCTCCTCTGTTGCCAATGGGAGGACACCATTTGGACCGCTGTACGCTCACAGGTTGAATTCAGATTTGATTTGATACTCCCACTGAAAATATAACAGGGCTCTTGAACAAGCAGGACCAATCTGAGCAGATAAGAGAGATTTATAGGGTCCTCGCTCTGCACAGAAATATGTGGAACATTACAGATACACTGTCTGATTTTGTTACAGAGCTTACAGATGCCTCAAAACCCCAAGATGCCCTTTCAGCTTACTGTTGATATGTTAAAATTCAACTCTGCACTGTGTCCAGACGATTTCAATGCAGATTAATTTGATTACACATGGTTATTGGTGAAAACAGCTGTGAGTAATAATGCTGCTCTGTTTCTGAGTTCCATACAAAATGTCCACTGGGGGCTGCAAATGCAGTCCTTCAGCAGCCTAGGCAGGGACAAACATTAAAAATCAGGTGCAAAATTTTATCTCAATCCGATACAAAGTAAGACAGGGCCAGAATCACCCATGCTGATATGATACCGATATTGATGCCATATCGATACAATACAGATATGATACTAATACTGATACGATACCAATACCTTTTATTATTAAAAGTGGGTTTCGTACTTTCATGTAAATGAGTAGTAGCATCTGAGACAAAATATTCACATTCAAAAAGTCATTGGTAGCTAATAGCTCCATATTGGCACAAATCTTCGGCCATCCCTTGACAAATGATTTCATTGAAAAGATGGACAGCCTCTCGAGGTTATGGGACATAAAACACAATACTTGCAGCAAACATGCATGTATTGTTTCGTTTTATTTCATTAATTGAACAAAAATACAAATGTAAAAACATCGTTCTGGCACATGCAAAAGTTTGGGCAACCTACACTGTCAGTACTTAGTAACCCCCCCAGCAGATATCGCAGCTTGTAAACGCATCACTGTAGGGATTGTCAGTGGCCAAAGCAGCCCATTATGAGCAGATATTTTCACATCTAATTTGTAAATTAAGGATTTATTTTGACCAAAACGGGTGATTGTTGGAAAGACTTACAAAGACGATTTTGGTGTGTGTTACTTTGTTTCTATTCAGTTTGAAGTGACAATAGCACCCATGGTTTTGGTCTGGGATGCTCGTGCTCTTGTGCGACATCTAGTGGTAGGTGAATTCCATATATATAATCTTTAATGTTACGGTAAGGTTTGGGGTTAGACATGCGTCAATTAATTTAAGCTTACGATGATCCTCTGAATAATGATTGAATTTCCATATGCAAATACCGTGTGTGGATGTGTCAGCTTATGACATGTGCATATGCACAGCTGTTTCTCCTATATGACAAGTCTCTTGCTCCATAAAACCGGTCGTATGCAGATAATGGCACTGATTTACACACTGCACCCTTTTCCCTGTCCCCGTGTTTTGTTCATCTTAAATTGGCTTGAATGGAAATCAAATTGAAGGCGGCTCTTAGCGGAGGCCAACTCTGATGTTTCACTCTGCCTGTCCATGCTTAACGGAGGACAGGTTTTCTCTGAGTGGGCGGGTGGGGGGAGTCCAAGCTCTTTGACAGAATTGTAAAGCGGCAGAATGAACAGATGTCTCCCAATGATTAATGTTCCTCCCCGCCTTGCCTCAGAGGAGCTGCGTGCCCATGCATCTCTAACCCCACACCTCCTCCCCGGCACTCTATAAAGCTAATTTCTTTAACTCACAGCTTTCACCATCTTTCCTCCAAGTTCATCTCGCCTCTTCATCCTTTATATTTCTCCCTCCAGGAACATCAACTTCAATTTCTTGCATGTTTTTGGACAAGGAAGTGGCACCTCTCCTGACTGATGAATTTCACAGGGAAATTTTGGCTTCCATCGTACCTGAAGGACATCACATACAGTCTAATTTGTGTTCTAAGGATTTAAATGGAAATCTCCTTGTACTGTAATGTGGCAGGACTATATCAAGGCTGTGTGTTGAAGGGATCAATCATAGAGAGAAACAAATAGAAAGAGTCAGGCTTCTTTCTCTCCGTACTATAATTTAAAGAACACCTTTGTCAGGTAGTGTAAGCCTGACCCCTATTGCCCAAAGTTGGAATGGAATTGTTTTTGCTTTAATGTGCATAAGATGAATTAATAGGAAAGTGTCTGATTTATGTTGTCCTTACCTGTTTTCCCCTTCAATCATTTTTTTCCCCAGTATGCATGTTTATGACATGTAAACACACTGGGCAGATGCCACTCACATCACACAGCTGATGACCTATGAATCAATTTCTCTCATTTGTTGCGCTCTAGAATTACTTCAGCTCTAGACATTTTGACCTTTGACTTGAAAGAGAATAAAAACGCACAGTAACTCACTGTGCAAGAGCTGCATCTTTTTTTTTTAAACTCTCTCAGTTCGTCTCCTCCTTTCTTTATAAACATGTATTTATTTTTGGACGCTCTCCACCAGAGAAACGTAGAGCAACAGCGCCCCCTGCTGCAATGTTGAGGGGAAAAAAGAAACCCACACAGTCTCAAGGGAAATTGGCCATTAAAATCTAGCGCTGCATGGTAATGAATACCAGGCCTATGGTAAAGGGCTTGCATTAAATATTTACACTCTCGGTTAATATTTCATATGGTAATTTTGTATTTAAATTGGATTTAATATTTAATATAAATACTGAGCTAAGTGGGGTATACTATTCTCAAACACCAATCCAGACACCTTCCATATGGCTGGGGGAGTAAATATGACACAGGCAGCATACATATGTAGATCCTCAGAGCTGGAACACACACACGCAAGCCAGGACACACAGACACATTATCCCCTCTGCAGCAGTGCCTTTGTTTTCTCTTCTGGGATGAAATGGGCTGTAGGGGAGAGTGGGGTCAGAGCAGCCACTTAAAGAATATTCAAGGTGATGATGTCTCCAAGTAAGATATTTACAGGATGTTATATTTCAGTGTGACTCATCCTGGTATTTCAGGATGTTGTACATCTCTGTAACTTATCACATTATTCTAAAATACACTATTTGAAAAATGCAACCTTCCCAATAGTCTCAGGTTGTGGCCAGATAAATGTTAAAGCTGCAGTAGAACGTTTTTAGAAAAATAACGTTTTGTCACATTTTCTGAAACTTTCACTATATCCTGACATTTGTACACGAGACAGATAAGCAGCTTCCTCTGGCTCCTCCCAGTGCTCCTAAAGGCATTTACTAGAATTTACCAAGCCTGAAAAAAACAACCAATCAGAGCAGAGAAACATGGAAAGATGCTTAAATATTAAAAATCCAACATGTCCTATGTCATGTAAAACCCACAAAACCTTCTATTACTGTGACTTATTTTGAGTCAACATTTTTCTTCTGTTGTTCAATTTGTTTTTTTTTGGGGGGGTTATTGTCTTTAATTGATAGAGACAGCTGAAGAGTTACAGGAAAGGAGGAGAGAGAGAGGGGATGACACGCAGCAAAAGGACTCAGCCTTGGTATGTGGAGCCCCAGCTCTACCAGATCTATTAGGGCACCCCATCATCCCTTTTAATATTTTTTTTTCTTCTCCTGGAATAAATAAGCTATATATATTTAT